TTTTTTTGGTGCAGTGCATTCTGTAGAACAGGGGTGCCGAACCTTTTTTGATCGAAGATCTACTTTTCGTTCAACTAACTTACCGCGATCGATCCGCGCATACACAACACACAGATGTATGCCTACCTACCGTCGTCAAGATCTGACGTGGAGGCATGTCAGTGTTTTTGACTCTCGTAGCTCACATGTACCATTTTAAAAATGCTTTTCATGACCCTTCAGATTCACTTTGCCAGTACACTGTGAATTGTACATGAATCGCCGTTTTTTTAAGTTTTTTTTTCCAACAGCCACCTGCCTGCTGATAGAAATAATAATAATATAATAAATTTTATTTATAAGCGCCTTTCAAGTGTGTGTCGCAGGCTAGAAACGTTGAAATGTAATATTTATTCGACACACTTTTACAGCATTGGGAAACATTAGGAATGTCTGTGTCATGTTTTTACTCCAACAGAAACCATATTGAAGACAAAAAAAAATAATTTTCCCTCCCACATCTTTCTCCATTTTCAAACATTTTTTATAGAGATCCAGGGAGCTACTACATGGCGCTAAAGAGACGCATACGGCTCTGGAGCCGCGTGTTGCCGACCGCCGACCCCCAACCAAAGGTAACTACGCTGACTTCTCCCCTGAACAGGGTGACAATCTCCCCGACTGAGGTAATTTCCAACCGTCGACCACCATCAAGTTGGCGGGAAATTCTTGCATCTCAGACGGTTGCCACACAAAATTCCCTGTTTGGATGAGGTAGCGAACCTCCAGTCATACAATTACACAGTAACTCTTAAAGCACGTTTTATTTGAGTATATTTAACATAGGTATTGTTCTCTATAAATGCGGAGTTTAAGTACGTACAAGACACCGCTGCCCTCAACAGTTTTAAAGACTTGACTCTGTCTATCTGCGGGACTATTATGGCTCAGGGCTTGAAACAGCTTTAAAGACCACTCCGTCTGACCCGGCGCGCAAACACTCATTCAACCTTTGAAGAGTTCCTTACCGACCAAGAGTAGTCCTCTCTCCTCTGGCTTCGCGTCAAACCTCAGCCCCCAGAGGAGGAGCCGAAACCCAGTCCCAAAAAGGGTGGTTCAGCCGTGGCCACGGTCTTCCTGGCCATCCACTCATCTTCTGGAGGCATCAGGTATCCTCCTAAGACCTGAACTCTTGCAAGGCATGCGTTTTTATTTTATTTTTATTTTCTCTTTGATATTTAGGCTAATTGGGACCTGATGAGTGTAAAAACAAACAATTATCTTTTTACATGATGTAACGTCCTCGTAAGTGGACGCCAGGCCCTTGTAGTCCAAAATTTAACATTGCAGTCTTGACAACCCAAAACGTCATGTCCACACATGTTGACGCCAGGTCCCAGGAGGGTATATTGCAATCCCGGACGAGCCCCCAAAAATGTCAGGTCCATCAATTTGACAGATAGAAATAAAACCCAAGGAGGAGACAGGAGACTCAATTCTGGTACCAGGGGAGAATGAGGAGAAGCGTTAGGTTTAGGTTCTCTGCACGTCACCCAAAGATCTCCCCCCTCACTCCCTCATTTATTGGAAATCTACTCCATAGGTGTGTCCAACCTAAAGGGTGGGGGGAGTTGAAGACACACTGAACTTGTTTGACTAGGTGTGTGTATGTGAATGTAAATTACATACATGTGTGCAATTGTTGCAAAAACATGAAGTAGCAGCTGGTGTTGATGGTGCCGTCCACGTCCAACCTTGCTCCTGTTTAGTTTTAATGCAGT